TCGCAGGAGGAAAGAACTGGAAGGACCTCGTGGGTCATCAGCTCTGCTCCCCTGTATAGTGCAACTGCTGTATTGGATAATCCATTGGGATTGATAGGGCTTTTCTCCTGCTGTGCYAGCTGCAAGGTTGTTCCAGGACCTGACTTCTCTAAAGGTTAGGAACCACCTTCTAATTTCCACCCTGAACATAATCACAACTGATTCATAGCCATTTATTCTGGTCTTTAGGTTAAATAGTTCCTTCTCCATATATGTGTTTACTCTGATCTGCAAACAGCAGGTCTCTCCCTAGCCTGTCTTCATTTTTGGAAATGAGCAAGCCAGAACAAGAAGTACTTGTTGTGTTTAGGGTAGCAAAACAAGCTGCTAGTTCTTTCAGACCAGCCTGATTGTTAAGAGGGTTTTAATGTATACTACAATTTTGTTTACAGTGAAATAGTATGTGCTGTACAACTTGCACCAAACTGGCTGAATGGAAAGGTCGTGTTGAATGTCTGAAATGTGGTGTTTCTTGCAATTTCTCAGTGTACAATTAAGCTCTGTCCATACAAACGCTTCCAGTTTCACATGTTTTGTGAAATGTTTTGCAGATGACTGTGAAAGTTAAGGGAATATATTTGTGTTCTGTGAGAAACCCGGACTACAGCGCACAAGCTGTTTCTTCTGTCATTTACTGCTGGCTTTTCTCCGACAGTTTGTGCCTTCTGAGGGTCTTGAAGTGACTGCTGCTGTGGGGTATCTTCTGTTAAAGGGTTAGCAATTAGCATTTTTCCAAAGAGGGAGCAATGTGCTCTCCTTTTCAGCATAAACTATAGATAGACAGAGGACGGGTCCCAAGCAACAACCATGATAAGAAATGAAGGTTGAGGAACCACTTTAGGTGCTATTTAGAAATGTTAACAAGACGTCTTCAAGGAAAGAGAATTTATGAAAAATGTGTTTCTGAGGGAGATGCTAGCTTGTGCTTTTGAAACSGGACGCATCACCTGTCTGCCCAGCACCCGAGAGGGCTGGCGCGGGAGAGACGCGCGCGGCGCTGACGAGCGCGCGGGTTGCCCGGCTGTGGGCGCGGGGAGCCGGCCCCTCGAGCCGGGCAGCCTCGTGCCTGCTGGACTGTCACTGCAGCACGCGCTGCCTGGCRCCAGAAGACATCTATCTTGCATCTTTTCAAGCTCTAGGGTATTTTTTAGGATTTTCAGCACCTTGCTGGCCCCTTCTCCCCACAGGTGCCGCTTCCCCACCCAAGGCAGGGCCTTGTTCCGTGTTTTCCCATAGCCCTGACCTGTTTTCTTTTTCCTCGCCCTCCTCACCGCGGTTTAAGGCAGTGACTTCCCTCTGCGCTGCAAGAAGCAAGGCCCCAGTGAGAGGAGTGGCAGGGCAAGCCCTAACCCCGTGTGATCTTGTGCTGAAATGAGTGATGGACAGAGTTACGGGGTGGCAGTGGTGCTGGATCCCCAGCCTCACCCCAAGCACCACCACAGCTTCTGTACAAGCACTTACAAGACTCCTTGTAAGCTTCTTTGGGCCTTGCTACTCAAAGCCAGAAGTTACCCCCTTTTCTCCTTGTATTTTGCGTGTTGGTGTTTGAATGGAAGTGTATGGCATTCCAAGATTTCACATACCCAGACTTGGGAGTGATAAGCCAGCRTCATTCTGGTGAGGCCTGGAGGAGCACGGAGCAGAGAAGCTCCCAGGGAMGCTGCCAGGCCTTGCTGCGGGCACTGTCCATTATGTGCTTGCAGCTCAGGGGCGTTTTGAACATGAGCCCAGGTTTAGGTTTTGTGAAACAGATTCACGGAAAGCAGAAMGGGAGTTTCAGGATCCTTTCTCATTTGGGTGATTAGGCCTAGAATAGGTCAATTCATTGATTTCTCTTCAGATTTACTGTTCTTCAAGTACTCCCATGCCATGAGGAGGAGCAAACGCCAAACCTGTAATAACAAAATACTTTGTTAAGCTATAGACACGTATTCATAGTCATCTTCACACACAAAGAGCAGACCTCAAGGCTTTGGTAGCAAGGAAAGATTTCCTGAAAGAAGGTGGCCAAAACCCAGATCCTACCATATTGCTAGTTTGTATCCAAGCCCTGGGTTTCACTGTCAAATCCAGCAAGTTAACTGCTTTCGCTGGACTCCACATTGCAGGAGTCTTAAGCTGGTGTGTTGCAAGAGCACCATAAAAGTCTAAATCTGGCAGAAAGATCTTAYTTTAATTTTCTACTATTAAGCTAAAAAAGCATACAAGTTGGAGCTCAAATAGAGCTGTAGAAAACACTGTGAATTGATTTTCCYGCAGTAGTGATTTTTTCAAAACATATATATATTTTTTCAATGTTAGGCCCATTGTTTCATTTCCTTCTGAATTCCTTGCTTTGTAATGAAGGATTTTGAAAAGTAGCTGGAAGTGTGAGTGAGAAGCTTGCATGGAAGACAGCACAGAAAGCTGCAGGCTGGGTGTGTTCCCAGCTGCGTGCTTGCTGGGGACTTAGCACTGCTTGCAAGCAAAGCAGCTGATGGTGCCCAGGGCTTCCAAGGACACTTGGCCCTCTCGATCCCAGTCCAGGGAGGGCTGGGATCGAGCTGAGGGCCGGAATTGTTTCTTGAAGAGCAGACATTGTGCTGCATACTTAGCTTCATACCAGAACAAAATGGAGTGGGAGTCCATGTGCTTGGGTTGCTGCTTTTACTTCCCTTCCAGGCCCCGTTGAGCAGTGCAGAGCTGCAGCCCTTCGTACAGGACTGTTCGCTGGCCGAAGAGCCACCCTCCTTCTGTCCTCATGGGTAGCCCTGGGTGTCTGAGCACAAAAGTAAGGCAGAATTGGAATGTGACCTCTGAACACGAAGACTGGATCTGCCCATGTCTTTGGAGACCTTCAGGTCCTTGCCTTGGTCCCTTTGGGACCAACGGGTCCTTCACTACAGAAGATGCAGACACTGTCCATACGTCGGCAGCAAGGCTATAAGGACATTATACACGAATTTTCAATGCATGGACCTAAAGGGCTTAGCATAAAAATCTGCATTTACAATCTTTTAAGGTTTAAACAGTTCACTTTTGCCCTATGTTAGACTGTATTGGATTCACTGAGAACACAGAAAAAATGAGCATGCCACATTTGTTGACAGATTTGTATTTTTAACTGCCAAATTACACTTTCATTAGTTAGACATGAATGAAAGGGAAAATACCTATGCGGTTTTTGTTACCTACAAGCTCTAGCAGCAGCAGCTCAGTTCACACACTGAGAACTATTAAGATACTGCTCAGGGACTACAGGCAGCAAAGTCTTTACATGCAGTTCATAAACTGACATGCAACTCTGGTTTCAAAATTAGCTCTCATGTTCTATGCAGTGTTTGAAAGCTGAGCTGATTCCTTAAAGTAAGGCTCCCAAGGCATCACGTACAATAGCACTAGTGCTGTGCTTCAGCTGTCTTTTCTTTGTTTTTTTTAATTTGTAGTGATGAAACAGAGAAAGAAAGAAAGAAAGAAAGAAAGAAAGAAAGAAAGAAAGAAAGAAAGAAAGAAAGAAAGAAAGA